CCCCACCTGCCCCAGGAGCTCATCCCCAGAGTCTACTGCCCCACCTGCCCCAGGAGCTCCATCGTGAGAGTCACAGCTACAGCCCCACCTGCCCCAGGTCCTGCAGGTGTTCCAGGTTCGATTAGGGGTTACAGCTCACCCGTCGGGGTGCCCCGCTCAGGGATCTGGACTCGGGGCCCCGGGCCAGTGTCTCTCCTGAGCCCCACCCTGGTCTCTCTCCTGTCCCAGTGCTGTCCCAGGACCCGGGCGGCCCGGCGGAGCTGCAGCGGGTCTTCGACACGGCTCTGCTCTCCCCGGCCCAGTCCGAGGGGCCCCCCCCTCCCCCAGCTCTGCGCCCCCCGGGGCCCACAGAGGGCCTCCTGTCCGCCCTCCTGCACCACACCTCCCCTCCACTGCTCACAGCCTGCCTGTCCATGATGGTCCTGCTGCTGCTGGTGTCACTGGGGTGAGGGGCTCCCACACACTGACACACACAGACAGACACTGTCACTGACACACACAGTGACACACACACACTGACAGTCTCAGATACAGTATAGACACAGAAACACTTGAAGACATAGACAATTACAGATACAAGTATAGATACTGATACAGACACAGACACTGACACAGATACACCTACAGACACAGAAACAGATGGGGACACAGATATAATGACACAAACACAGTTATAGTCACAGACACAGACATAACACAAACACACAGACAGGCACAAGAGGCACAAGAGACACAAGAGTAAATGTGTGGGTATCAGCAGTGTGTGTTTGTGCATGAACAGTGACCTTTGAACCCCCCGTGTCCTGCTCTGTGTGTCCAGCAGGTTTGTATACTGGTGGTCAACTCAGAGAGGAGGGAGGAAGCTAGACTGGCCACGTGGAGCGGCGAGGCACGTGGAGAAAGGGGGAGGTTAGAAGGAGACCCGGGGGTCCCCAACACGAGCTCAGCAATCCGCGTCTCCTTATTGGGCCAGCATGTGCGTGCGCTACACAATAAAAGAACTGGGCGGAGCTTTTCATGCAGGCGTGCAGTTTTTTGTACTCGCCGGCAGAGGGCGCGCTTACCCCATAAGAGGTTGTCCACCGCAGGCCGCACGTCTATCTCCGCCACGCCCCCGGACTGCGCGCCTGGGTCGGTCTGGCGGACAGGCCGACACCGAGGCTCCCACATGGAGTGAGGGCCCCGTCAGGGCGTGTGGTGGTGGTGGTGGTGGGAGAGGAAAGAGACCAAAACGTTTGGGTTAAAACCCTTGGCAAAACAACAACTCCTCCGCAGAAGTCGTTTTTATCCATTTATCCTAAAAACGACATACAACTTGAGTTGTGGTTATTGTGCCCTGATCACGCCGCAACGTGTTATAGACGTGTGGCTCTGAACATTGTGTCACTGAAATTGTGTTTAGTCGGATGAAACGAGTTAAAATCATAATGACGGCGGCGGCGTTGAAGTAAAAGAGCTTTGTCAACCCTTATTTCATCCCGCACCGCTGTTGTAACCCGTGACCTCACGGCTGGGCCGAGCCGCACGGATTTTGGGGGTGCTCCGGGGAGGGACGGGGCGCTGCCTGATCGGTGCTTTATTGGGTTTTGACCAGACGCCACGACAGGTAAGACATTGCCGGAAAAATGGAAAAATGCAGCTCAGAAAAAAATACCCCACAGAGGTCTGGGAGGGTTCAGCCTCAGCGCTTCGTGGCCTTCCACGACCTGAAAGTCGGGCCGGTAAGAAAAGTTTCCGAATCTGAGCTCCGGACCCGGCGGGTCAGCAAAGCCGCAAACAACTGCTTTTTAAAAACTGAACTCCTTCGCCATAGTACCTGAATCATTATTCATCACAGCGATGCATCTCACGCATCGTCGGACAGACATGTGTGAAACCAACCATTTTATGTATGCAATTCAAGAAGAATCCACGCACGCCTGCTGTGTAATAGTTTTAAAACGTAAGAACATCGGACTAGTCAACGCGGGTGGGGTAATATTGTTGTAAGATCATGGAAACGTGCTGAGTGGGGTTTTTTTTTTCTGTGAAAATGTTTATACGGCACAGGAGCCTCTCAACTCAAGAGCTGATCTCGGGCTCCTGCGGGGTTCAAGCAGTCTGTCGGCCAGACTCCGGTTAGAGCCGGCCCTTGGTTTGGGGGAACTAGGAGACGGTCTAGAGCCCCGAGGTCCCCAGGGAGCCTCAATGTGCAACACAGCATTTTTTTTATCTGCCCGATCAAATGAGCCAAAACTTCCGTCCAGTGTCTCTTTCTGGTGCTGTTCTTACTGCTGTGCTACTCTAGGCTGCTGAAGTTCGTTAGTTACAAATGATGCGATGATTACTTGTGAATGTAAGTGTAGCAGTTTATTTCATTGTCGGTTTAGTAACCGGCTCCCATCTTCTCCTTAAGATGACAACATCAGCGAGGTTTCAGCTGCTGCTGCTCAAGACGCTGCTCGTTCAATTTCGGAAAATAGTAAATGTTGTGAAAATCGTTTTTTTTCCCCCATCTTTAATCTATGCCAGAAAACATTACAAGGGCTCTTTCACTTGTGACGCACGCTGTGTTGTAATGGTTTGAATCGAAGTCAAGTATCTGCAAATGGTAAACACCCGTCGTCCTCCGCATAGATGATGTTTTGAGATAAGCGACCTCAGAACGGGTTCGCCGGCTCGAGCCGCTGTAATGACGTGTTCGTATTTCGCTTGGCTTGGGGTCAATCAGATCCGCCTTCACCTCGACAAGTGGACCGACACTGGAGCTGTTTCACTTGACGTTCTCAGACTCACATTTCACCTGATCACCTTCACTGTTAAATCTTTGTGAAATGCGTGCTTCTCGTTCTTGGTTGTGACTTATTTATTATGTGTTCTGCAAAGCGGGTTAATCCAAGTTTCGAGTTGTGGAATTCTTTGAATTAAGTGTTCTAAATATGATCATAAGTTGGGGGTGAGGGCTGATGATAGTACATTCTGCGCAAATCCGTGGTCTGGAGAGACATAGCCCTTTCCAAGATGTCGCTGAGTGCCCCCCTGGCCAGCCCCGATTCAAGCTGCTCCGTCTTATAGAAGCCGCCCCGGGTCTCTGTCTCTGTGATCTTGGGGTGTGTGACGGTCCTGTTGTTGCTCAGATCCGGGACGTGGTCTGTTCTCCTAGACGGACCGATGCATACCCGTGCCGTTCGCCCCATGTCTCACATTTGGGAGGCGGAGGAGAGACGAGGGGCTGTGGATATTTAGACCCGGGGCGGCTTGATATTTAGACCCGGTTGCGTGTTCGAATCCCAGGTGGGGCAGTGGTGCTGTGCTCTCGAGATAGGTCACTCGGGTCTCTCCAGTCCGGTGTCCTTCTGTGTAAACGGGTCTGTCGGTTACCACTGTGAAAGAGAATTCGTTCTCTTCTTATCCTCACGGGTTAAATCTAAAATATCGCGACGGACTGGTGACCCGTCGGGTCAGATGAATGGATATCCCAGAATCCACTCGTCTCGGCAAGAGCATTTTCACCAAAAAAGAAAAACTACGTAGAATTCAGGGAGCATCAGGTTCTAGTTTGCCTATAGATCGAGGTGCAGAATAAAAATGACTAAAGACATGAAAAATAAACTCATGTAACTTGATGGAACTCGTATTTGTGTAAACGAATAATTGCGCGCGAGTCCACTGTGAGCGTCTATACGTGACAGTGAATGTTGTAACATTTTATTGCTAAAATATATTTGAAGCAGATTTAATTTAAACTGAAGGAAACCCTCTGGATAAACTATTTCTCGTTTCCAACGCTGTGATCTCACAATTTCGGAGCAGCAGTAGTGATACGGGCCGTGCCCACCAGGTGGCGCTGCTAACGCTTGGAAACCTGCCCGTCAAACCTGCGCGTATCTGCATTCACTTCTGACGTGATTAATTAACAACACATTATTGCGCCGTGAGTCTCATCGATGATTTGTTTTCCAGCGAAATAACATTTGGTAGGGCAAATCTAAAAATAAACTATTCTACATAGAAGCATATTTTAAAACAGTCACACCCGAAGAAGGCTCCACGGCCGAAACGTTGTGTTTTTTTCTTTTTTCCGCAGGGAATAAACCTATTGTTCCTTTGCAGCCTACGCATGCTGACGCAGCTGCACACCTGAACTGTTTTAAACCAGGTTGCTTTGCCCTGTCCCTGTCGCCTTTCTGTGTCTCCTGGTGAAGTGTATTTATTCATAATAACCCCTGCGGAAAGTGCGCTCATTGTCCACGTGGGGAAGCACGATGCTTTCATTTCATCAGACAAATAAACCGGCTCTCGCTGGTGTCAGAGAAGAGTAGTTTTATTTAGATGTGTTAAACGAGTATCTCTCAATAAAGCTTGTGGAGATTAAAAAAAAAACTTTTGTTTTTGTTACAGATAGACACAATGATGGTTTTGAACGCGCTCGCCAGTGGGAAGTAATTCATAATATCACCCGAGACTCATAATTCCAATGAATGGTCTGAGCCGTGTGCCCTGTTTGCACAAAGAGTTGCAGGAGGCTGGGACAGGCTGCCCGGTTATTTTCTGAAGCGCCCTGTTCGGACAGACCCTGCAGCCTGTCACCCGCCCGGTCCCTCCATTCCGACAGAGTCGACTTTGCGCGCTGCCCTGCCGCTCCTTCGATCGTGCAGAGCAGGAAATTCCGCCAGATCGGTTAGTTTCTCATTGTGCACAAATACAATTAAACGCTTATTTGCATGTATGCTCCGACCCAGAGACATGAAGGAAATACCAGCCTTAAACATTGAACTGCAGCAAAAAGAGAGATCACTTCATTAGCCATATATTGCTTCGAATATTGAATAATAATAATAATTGATTATATAATATGTAATTTATTGTAGATATCTTTATTTTAAAATATATTTTAATAATATATATATTATAGAAATGACATCAATTATAAAATAAAGATGTATACAGTATATTGCATAGTCTATCATGAAATGTATTATTATTATGATTATTATTGACGTTGTTGTTGTTGTTGTTGGGGGTTGCCTGTTCAGGCTGTTCTGGACGCGGTCGCGGGTCCGAGGCTCGAGGTCGCCGTTTCTTCCCGCGTGTCCACGGGAACCTCCTTGCGCGAGCGTGAAGAGGGCTGTTTAAAAACCCCGAGGTCTCTGTTGCTAAATATAGGCGCACGAGTCAGGGCGGCGGGCCTCTCTCTCGCAGACTCGCTCATGCGGGGTGTTCCCGGGTTTGGGCTCGTCGTCAGGGCAACCAAACCGCGCGCCAAGCTGTCCCGTCCATCATCTATTTATTTTTTAATTGAAAAGAAAACACACAGCGCAGCTGAGCTTCTCCCGGGATCGACGCGGGCAGGTGACGGCACCGGCCGCAGAGAGAGGACGGCGGGACGGGAGTTTGTGTTGGACCGGCACCAGCACTGTCCTGAACTCCTGGAGGTACACAGCCCACACGCCTCCCTGAATAGATGAGGCTATGAATAAGGCGTCGAGCTATTTTCGGATTTACGCAGTGCTTTAATGGAATTATGTACAGTATTATGGTATTATGGTGACGGCTGTATGGTGTTTTCATCGCATTGTCAAAAACAATTAGCCAACAGCTGTATCGCCCTGTCCTCCCTGTGAGACTCCTGGGAAAGCTGTTACTGCTGGAGGAGGTGTTAGAGGGGCCAGCAGGGGGCGCTCACCCAGCAGTCAGAGCTGGTGTGTGGGGAGCGGACTGGAGCGTCATCCAGGTGGGGGTACACACTGGTGGGGGTGGAGGGGATCCCCATGACCTGTAAAGTGCTTTGAGTGGAGTGTCCAGAAAGTGAGGAACTTGTAAATCCCCCTTGTTTCTCCGGTTCGTGTCGTGTCCTGAGAGCTTCTCAAAGAGCTCTTCAAATACAGGAGAAGAAGGTCTCGGTGCCAGGTGCCAGTCTCCAGTCTCCAGTCTCTGGGAGTTTCACCTGTAACGGTCTGCGATATTGTCGCCGCCGCTGACCGACAGGCTACATGCACACTGTTGAAACAACATTTAAGACGCGTTGTAACTGTTTCCTACTTTAATATGTTCTTTTGCTGGTACATGTAAGTCAGCATGGGGTTTTAGGAAATGCCTACAATGGGGGGCAAAGCTACATTCAGGGGTTCATGCTACATTCGGCAGCACAACGCTGGTCCTGACCAGATACTTCCACCTCTGTGTCTGTTTTACCCATGTGTCCACGGCTGTCCTTCCCTGTTCAACTGACCGGAAACTCGTGTCCAATGTGAACTCGATGGGCTCTGCCCTCTGACTCACTGTGCGTCACCCTGGCGCATTACTGAGCCTCCTCACCCAGCGGCTGCTACATGAGCCTTCGTCACGCTGACCCTACAGTGCACACAA